CATAAGATAGCTCAATTTACCTAAATTTCATGCATTTGGATACAAATGCCACTCAGTTGTAAGTGAATGGCATTCATATTCAAATACATAAAAATTAGAGGAATTCTTGATTTCAACACCCTGTATCTAGAAAACGGTAAATGCAAAGTATACTAAACTATATATTTTTGAAATTAGCTAAAATATGCCTACTAGACCATGCTAAAATATGTGGGGGTTTCCATTTAAAAAAAAATCAAGATGGCGTCGTATCTGTCAAAATTGACGTTGTAAAAAATTTTAATATAGAAAATCGGCATCCTCGCGAAAAATTACATTAAAATATCTCTTTACTATCTTAAAATAGAAAAGAGGAAAATTTTAAATTGGGTGAGACACTTAAAATGATTCTGGAACAATTCATTTTTAAATGCACTGTATATCGAAAACGGTAAGTGCAAAGTATACTAAACTATATATTTTTGAAATTAGCTAAAATATGTCTACCGGACCATGCTAAAATATGTGGGGGTTTCCATTTAAAAAAAATCAAGATGGCGTCGTATCTGTCAAAATTGACGATTTAAAAAATTTTAATGTAGAAAATCGGCATTCTCGCGAAAAATTATATTAAAATATCTTTTTACTATCTTAAAATAGAAAAGAGGAAAATTTTAAATTGGGTGAGACACTTAAAATGATTCTGGAACAATTCATTTTTAAATCCACTGTATATCGAAAACGGTAAGAGCAAAGTATACTAAACTATATATTTTGAAAGAGCAAAGTATACTAAACTATATATTTTTGAAATTAGCTAAAATATGTCTACCGGACCATGCTAAAATATGTGGGGGTTTCCATTTAAAAAAAATCAAGATGGCGTCGTATCTGTCAAAATTGACGTTGTAAAAATTTTAATGTAGAAAATCGGCATCCTCGCGAAAAATTACATTAAAATATCTTTTTACTATCTTAAAATAGAAAAGAGGAAAATTTTAAATTGGGTGAGACACTTAAAATGATTCTGAAACAAATCATTTTTAAATCCACTGTATATCGAAAAGGGTAAGAGCAAAGTATACTAAACTATATATTTTTGAAATTAGCTAAAATATGTCTACCGGACCATGCTCAAATATGTGAGGGTTTCCATTTAAAAAAAATCAAGATGGCGTCGTATCTGTCAAAATTGACGATTTAAAAAATTTTAATGTAGAAAATCGGCATCCTCGCGAAAAATTATATTAAAATATCTTTTTACTATCTTAAAATAGAAAAGAGGAAAATTTTAAATTGGGTGAGACACTTAAAATGATTTTGGAACCATTCATTTTTAAATCCACTGTATATCGAAAACGGTAAGAGCAAAGTACACTAAACTATATATGTTTGAAATTAGCTAAAATATGTCTACCGGACCATGCTAAAATATGTGAGGGTTTCCATTTAAAAAAAATCAAGATGGCGTCGTATCCGTCAAAATTGACGTTTTAAAAAATTTTGATGTAAAGAAGCGGCATCCTCGCGAAAAATTACATTAGAAAATCTTTCTACTATCTTTAAATACCAAACAGGAAAATTATAAATCGAGTGAGACACTTAAAATGATGTCCCTGTACGTATCGGGCACTTTAACCCTAAGCTTTAACCCAGTCAAAAAATATGTAGGTGGCGCCCTCTACAAGTTGGAGTCATATTAACATCAAAATCAAATTTCTCATGTCAAAAAACTCCCAGACACCAATTTTCATCGAAATATTGTCGGTAATTCAGAAATTATTTGGAAAAAATCGAAATAAAAATGAAACTTTTACACCCTGTATCTCGGAAACTAAGCGCTTTAGAACGTACATTTATACGAACTTTTTTACTTATTTTTATTTGCAGAATATGCTGCCGAAGTTTCCGGAATACAGTTCGGACCACCCTGTATATTAAACTCTAAAATACTTCAAAATTTTAATGTGCCCTTTTTTCGTCCCGGTGAGTGTATTATAGTTATAATAAATACTCTATTGATTATTGATTTTATACATTATATCCTAACTTTCTAAAGTCGTTGTAGTTCAAAGTGTGATACCAGGTAGAACATTCATTATTACACTTATCTCACTAACGTTTAGAGTTGACGTGAATTCATATCAAATAGGTCATCTCATACCCCTAATATGCATGCCTGATAGTCAATTAGTTCCCAACTATCGTCCAACTATTCTTCTTTGTATGAAGCTATAATAGTTTCGAGGATCTTAGTTTATGAGGCATATTTTGAGAAATAAATGCCATTCTTTTAGATACATGAAAAAGAATATAACAAGTTTTAACTTTTTGACACTATTTAATCACCCAATCCACTAAAAATGTCCTAAAAACTCCCTAATTTCTCCCCTTTATTTTTTATAACTTGTCAATCTGTCGATAGGCGCTTTCAGTCTCCCCTCTGGTCTGTTTTTGTGGCAAATTGTAACTTTTCTCGCCCCATTTTTCGAGGCTCCTCACTCCTTACAACTTCCTTTATACCGAAATTTGGGACAAATCCTTTTTTCATTGTCTCCCAGAAAAGTTCAAGGAGTTTTTAACCAAGAAAGCGGGCGTTTTTTTCGCGGGAAGTAAAGCAAAAAAAGATTTAGTCACTGATTGAGCTACTTTCTAATTTATGAGGAAGTCATTCTTCGAAATACTGTGATTTTAACGTTAATTCTCTCTCGTTCATTAATTACAAGCGGAGTTTTTGAGAATTTTTTGGCCCCCTTTGACCCTTTTAGATTTGTTTTGACACCCTCTCCCTCCCTCGTAATGGTAAGATATTTCTTAATTTGTATTTTGAGTATAAAGCGTTGGATATACACAGGGTGTTCCGAACTGTATTCCGGAAATTTTGGCATCATATTTTGCAAATAATAATATCGTATAAATGTATGTCCTAAAATGCTTAGTTTAGGAGATACTGGGTGTAGAAGTTTCATTTTTAATTCGATTTTTTTCAAATAATTTCTGAAGTAACGTTACGTCAATAATTTTATGAAAATCTATGGGAGATTTTTGACATGAGAAATTGGATTTTGATGTTTATGACTCCTATTTGTAAGACTAATAACTTTTCGCCGGTACCTGTAAAAAGCTACTGAGTAAAAAAAGTTAGGTTGCAGTCATCGTCACTGAAAAGTCATATTAATTATTATTGTTTATTGACGTTTTCTCTAGTAGAGATGGTTTTAAACTCTAAAGTCTAAAGTATCGATATCGATAAACAAAATACAAAAGGCATTAAGGCCTAAAAACCCTACATATATGCTTATTCTCTGCATTAAGTTCATCAAAGTGAAGGGAACAGCCATTCGACGACCGATTTCGGAGATTTATCTCCATCGTCAGGCCGACTTTGCTGTTTGCTGTAACCCTCAATCTGACAAACGAAAAGCAGAGAATAGCATTTGAGTACAAAACGTGCTACTATGGCGAGTGCTAGCCGCTCTCGCCATCTAGCGGCAGCTGTAACAATTACAGATTCAAAGTATCGGTTATTGTTGTTTTAATTGTATTGATCATGGTAGAGATCAACTTTTGGACTTAAAACCATATCTGCTAGAGTAACGAGTAACCACCCAACAGACTATAATAATAAAATTTTTCAAAAACAGTGACATTACCTAAATCATAAACACTATTTTATAGGTCTATAAAGTTAAGTCTAAGGTTTATAAAGCTATTAAGATAAATAAAAAAAACAAACTATCGAGAAAAGATACATCTGGATGCTAAAATTATTTTTAAATTCGTTGCTTTGTTAACGTACTCCACAGAGTGTTTGAAACATTCACCAAAATATCAACGTTTTGTTTTCCTTCGTATTATTAACAGATGGCAACTTTCGTTTTTAATTTAGAAAGAAATACTAAAAAATCTAATCATATAGCTACAAATTGCTTAAAAAATCATCAAAATCGGTTCAATAGAACAATGATTTTAATCAAAGTTAAAAAAAAGCCCAGAAATATGTTCGTATAACTTCTAAAATCACTAAGCAAGATTAATTTCAAAAGCAGCATTGCTGTAACTGTTACAAAACAAGTAATCTGACTTATTCCGACGCCATCTGCAACAATGGGGTTTGATTAATAAGCTCTATCGTAAAGATTTAAAGATATCTACTAATGAGAGGCTATTAAACATTTCTCGAAACATTCAAATGAGAAGATATTTATCACAATTATGAAAATTTAAAGTTTTTTGGCATTAAAATGTTCTTTCATCGTGGTTCTTGTAATAAATTGATCATAATAATTAATAATGTATTGTTATAATGAGTTTATATGCATCTAAACTGATGAATAACGTTTGTATAGCTTTTAAAATGGCTTTTATAAAAGAGATGTGTAATAAATTTAAGAACCAGTAGTAAATCAAGTGGTGGTTTTAATGCTTTTGGCAGTAATTCAAATAAAACTAGCTTTAATCAACGGTAATGCTGTAACAATAAATTAAATTACGCTTGTATTTATAGGTGGGTGCCTTGAATGATAAGGATCATAGTGCGCATATATTATATTCTAGGTGATTTAAGTTTGTGGAAAACAAAATGGTATACAATTTGCATGACAGAAATACTCCTATCCTATTTCCTGGTTTGGTATTTTAGAGTAAATAGTAATATTTATTTATTTTTTCCATAGCAATTGTTAAAATTATTTACCTTATATCTATCAAAAGTAGTAGATAAAATAGTACTTTAACCGCAGGGTAGATTAAATGATACTTCAACAGCGAGGATAGGTTAAAAACTTTATTTCTTCTCGCACGTTTTTTAATTGCTTCCATTTTTTAAATTTTTTGTATTCCTTTTCATAAGTTATTCGGGATTTAACTGAAAATAGTTGGGATATAAAGTGGATTTCAGAGAAGTGCGTGGAATTAGAGGACTTACAAAAGAAACACGACTCATTTACATTACACAAAAAAAATAAAAGAATTAACTGGACCAGCACAACGTTTTTGTCCTCTAACAATTATTAACTCAGATGGTACACTGTGTTCAACCGTACAAGAAAAAATACAAGTATGGGAACAACACATGAAAGAACTTTATAATGACTATAGAGAAGAACCAACAGTAAGACCAACGGTTTATCAAGGACCAGAAATTCTCAATAGTGAAGTATTGCAGGCAATTAAACAACTTAAAAACAACAAAAGTCCAGGCCCTGACAATATATATCCAGAAATACTTAAATTAATATCAGAAGAGAACGTAGATATACTGACTAGGCTTTTTAACAAGATCTATGATAGAGGAAAAGTACCTGATGACTGGCTCCACTCAACTTTTGTACCGCTTCCGAAAAAAAATCAGCTCGACATCTCAGTGACTATAGACTTATTAGTTTAATGAGTCACGCACTGAAAGTGTTACTTAAAATAATACATAACAGAATTTATAAGAAGTGTGAGCAAGAAAGCGGCTATGAACAGTTTGGGTTTAAGAGTGGATTGGGAACACGAGAGGCCTTATTCTGTTTACAATTGATGGCGCAGAAGTGTACAGACCAACAAAAACCAATGTATGTGTGTTTCGTAGATTTCGAAAAAGCATTAGATAGAGTCAAACATACGAGACTTATCGAAATGTTGTATGAGTTGGGAGTTGACAGCAAAGATGTAACAATTCTGAAAAATATATATTGGCAACAAACAGCCCACATGAAAATTGAAAATGACAATTCCAATCCAGTCAATATACAGGGAGGAGTAAGACAGGGATGTGTGCTGTCTCCTTCGTTATTTAATGTTTATTCTGAGGCGATTTTTCGGGAAGCTTTCTCTTCAACAGATTGTGGTATTAAAGTCAACGGCGAAGTCATTAACAATATTAGATTTGCCGATGACACAGTTCTTATTGCCGATTCTGATACTGGTCTCCAGAGTTTAGTGGAACGACTTGAAGGTTCCTGTAAGAAATACGGGATGAAGATCAATTCTCTTAAAACTAAAGTCATGATATTTGGAAAGAACCAAAATGTACCTTATTCCTATTAAAATGGAGGGCAATACCTTAGAACAGGTCTACAAGTTCAACTATTTGGGGTCCTGAATAGTTAACACCTTGAACAACGACGTGGAAATAAAAACCAGAATAGAACAAGCGAGAAATGCATTTTTAAAAATGAAGAACGTCTTCCAGAACCCCAGATTGGACCTAGAGTTGAGAACTAGGCTCGTTAAGTGTTATGTTTGGTCAATCCTATTATACGGAGCAGAAACATGGACACTGAAAGTTCAAGAGATGAATCGCCTCGAATCGTTCGAAACATGGATATATCGAAGAATGCTTAAAATTCCATGGACAGCCCATATCACAAATACCGAAGTCTACAACAGAATAGGCAGAGAGAGAGAATTGCTCAATATAATAAAAATAAGAAAAACATCACACTTAGGGCATATATTGAGAAATGAAAAATACCACGTCTTACAATTGATAGTTAAGGGTAAGATTGAAGGAAAGAGAGGTCTCGGCAGGAAGAAACTATTTTGGTTGAGAAACATCAGAAACTGGACTCACCTAACTTTTGAAGAACTTATAAGGAAAGCCGAGAATCGTGAAGATTTTGCCAATGTGATCGCCAACCTCCACGAAAGAGACGGCACGTAAAGAAGAGGAAGTTGGGATATGGCGTTTGTCGCCTCAGCCTGAATATCTGTTGGTAATTTACTTATTTCGTTTTCAGCCATTTCTGGCTCCAATTCAATCAGCAATCGACACGAAAGAGAATTAAAAAATATTGACTCAAAACTGACAACTAAAGAGACAGCTTTATTTACTTGTCAAATTACATAGAAACCAACCCCACTCCAGCACAATATTTTTTCTACTCGTAGTAAATTCCTTGAAATAATAATTTCTAAATATTTTTTAAATGAATTTTCTCGTTAAATGAAAACCAGGCTTTTCTTTTAGAGTCGTACATCACAGGGGGTGAAAAAACATACACCCCCGCCCGATTGAAGTGGGCCCCCTCTATTAATCTTGCCTGGTGCAAGTGAAAAAGGTATTTTTTGCCAATTTTTCTTGCCTTCATCGAGATCATCGATCCATGCCGTATCGGCAGGCGGTCTAATGAATCAAAAAATGATTAATCAATCAAAATTTGGAATGTGTTGTTCTCATTTCATCGGCTCGAAAAATTCCTGGATAGTTTATTAAATATGTAAGAAAGTAAATAACACGATGAAATGTAATTTTTTATGTCTGGCGGATGATTTGTTACAGACTGCATGGTGGTCTTTTATTTTTGGAATTATTAATTACAAGGCATAAAGAAAAGTCAGTTTAAAAAATTATCACATATTCTTATATAAATAAAAAACGTTCAAGTTTATATACAGTGTGTCTTTCAAAAGTGGCTCACGCCTTTTTATTTTTTCAGAAAAAAAACTAGATTTGATATGTTAGTATATGACATAAATCAGGATTAATTGTATTCAATTGTATACGGTCACTTGTTTCCTGTTTCACCGGAAGTGACTACAAGTTTTGATTTTTAAATGGCACCCTTGGTATTTTTTTACTTTATTCGATAGAAAATGACACTTTGAGAGTTAAATTACGTTAAACTAGAGTTAAACTATAGCTGTGTTAAAAATACTAATTTTTAATCAAGTAGCCTTGGAAAAATAGACTTCGTCTAATGTTTTTAGTGTCCCAAATCGTATTTTTAATCATATCTCAATTTTTTCAAATGGAACGAGGGTAGCGCATTAGCACATTTGAAAAAAAATATATTTTTTACGAATAATTTGGTACCACAAACTTGGTATTTCGAGTCAAATTGTCGTTATGAACCGCATATTACAATTCCAAATAAATTATATGCGAAAATGTCAAAAGTTGACATATATGATATGTCATTCTATAAGACAGAGTGTCATTTTCTATCGAATAAAGTAGAAAAAATACCATCCGAGAGTACCATGTAAAAATCAAAAGTTGTAATCATTTCCGGTGAAACAGGAAGTGACCGAAAACAATTCAGTATACGTCAATCAATCCTAGATTTATGTCATATACACACATACCATATCTCGTTTTTTTCTCTGAAAAAAAAAGTTACAGGGTTGTTCAAAAAATCTGTATAATGATGTCAAAAAGTTCTGTGTTTTGAATTTCATAATTTTCTATAAAATACCCGGTACAATAAACTAACTACAGAGACAGAATTTATAGATTCTTTAAAGAACGAAAATATAAATACCAATTTGACGGTCATGATACACAAATAATATATTTATTTTCCTTGTGTTTTGATCAACGTCCGAATATAAATCTTATATTGTTTGAGAACAATATACGAACAACTGAGATGGAAAAAGCATAAAAGAAGCATTATTTTTAGAACATTTAATGCATATTTTAGCTTAGATAAATAAATGTGGAACTGCTTTTAGATCACATTAGAGACTTCATATTTGTTTTTGTTTATATCTTCAAAGGCTACAGTTTGCTTCACAGGTTTGTCTCTTTTATTTTTCGTAGTTTAGAATTTTTGTTTTGCAAGATGAATATTTATAATACGCATATTACTTTTAAGATGATTTTGATACTTTTGACTGACGATTTGAATTGATACTTTTGTGACGTTTGAAAAAAATACTTATTTACTTGAACGTTTCATTCGAACCAAATCTTTTATTTTTTTCAATGAATTCATATTTTTGTCAAGACCAATATTTCTTAGTAAATATATTCCAGTAATTCTGCTGGTTAAAATAAAACAAAAAGTAAAATATTAGTTCATAAATCTCCATCGAGGAGTAAACTCCGTATTAAATTATATAAAGAAAATTTTGCTGCTGCTGCCGTAGCGATTAATTTACTCAATTGCTCGGGTAAATAATAACGCACGTTTCCCATCATAAATATTTATCGGGCATCTGTTTACGTGCATGATTTATCATGTTATTCTTTGCGTTTTTCCCGCTTAGATATTCTCTCTCCTTTCAGGTTTTTTTTCGCTCTTGTTATATTTCTGGACTTTTTCAATGGATTTCTTTCCACGTTTTATTTTCATTTTTTTTTGATTATGTTTTGACAGGTTTGATCAACACAAAAAATGCAGGTAAATGTTACACGGAACGTAAAATAAATCATTTTTTAACATTAGACATTATATTTAGACACATTTTTTGGAAATTTAACATTATCCAGATATTTGGATTACTAGTTTGTTCCAGTTTTTGTATCGTTCATTTTTTACTATCTAATGTATTTACATTATTTTGTTAAAGAAGAATTAAAAAAAAATTGGCGCCAGGAGGCACGTATAGCCGCCCATACTAAAATATGTTAATAAAATATGTCTCAAAAACTGCGACTTTGACTGATTTTGATGTTATTATTAGCGATGGGAACTATCGAATGAATTAGACTATCGAATGGTTAATGAATGAATGATTTCAACTATCGAATGGTTTTATTCGAATAAAATCATTCATTCATTTGTATACTAAAGCATATGTGACAACCTCGCCGTGCGACTAAATGGTTATCGTTGAGCCACGACTATCGAATGCTTTTGATAAATGAAATTTAGTATTCGTTTGATTTTTGTATGCGTCAGTGTATTATTAGTTCTTCCAAATTTTTATAACTTCGCCGTATAAATACTGTGCTATTTTTTGCGTTTATTAAAATAGTTAAAAATACTAAAATAGTAGTTATTTTTTAATTTTATTTATTGACGATTGTGTGCATGTGCAGGTGGTCAAAATTTTTCGAAAATTTGTGTGGTTTTCCGTAGTCCGATCTTTCAATTATTTAATTTTATATGGTATGTGGTCTATTTTTAATGGGACATTTTGAGAAGTAGCAATTTTAAGAGAGATGAGATAAACTTACAATTAATTTTAAAAATACATATTTGTATTTTAGATGTTTTAATAATATGAATTAGTTGAACTTAATAATCATATTTAAGTAATGTGGTTGTATAATCATATTTAAGTAAATGGTTATCGAACTCAAACTATGGGGTGAGAAAATTAAAATGAAAGTTTTACACGTGCCAATTTAAAAAAAGTTAACGATGTTTGTATTTTGTTTATGCTAATTCTCTTACATGTAGTTTTTGCGAAGAAAAAATATTTCATTTATTTTTAAAGTAAATGCCAGTAAAAGTAAATATAATTTTTAAATAGTAATATAAAGCACCTAATAATTTTGATTTCTAATTTTTATTTATATTTTCCTTCCATTACACTGCATGCTTAGAAAATTAATAAATGTTTATATTTCATGATTTTAAAATTTGTTGTTAATATAACAAATTAGTTCTGTAATTATTATTATTTAATAAACCAACGTTGCCAAAAAATTTAGAGACTATATTATTT